TCGGCCATCATTGTAGCAACACAGACGATCGGTTGGTTTAAGCAGACTGATCGAGTCAATATTTCATGAAAGTAGAGAACGCTTGAAAAGATGGTTTTCTTTTTTCTTTCAGATTCTATAGGAAATGGTTTCATTTGTTCTGATTTCATAGAAAGCGGTTAGATATTTCTTCTGATGAAAACGTATCAAGAAGGCATTACTGCAATGAAGTATAATCGAAAATGGCGATTAGGTTATTTTCAAATGAGTGCGGATAGGCAGTCTTTAACTGTATTGCTATGTAACAAATAATGGCTATTATTGACTGCACTCTTCATATGAAGAAAGCAGCAATATCCACTCATTTAGCTACTAACCGAATTTACTTCTACAAACTCATTTCTCACATTAATTCATCCCTCATATATTATTCAAAAATGCTTACGCCATCTTAGCACCTATTCAACAGATTGATTCAACCCAATCGCAGATAAATACCTATCGAACCAAATTTGTTTCGTTGCTGACTTACTTTGGAACCATAAAATGCTATGGATCCTCCGAGATATCATTGACAAAACCTTTAGCTCGATGTTTTCGGCAGAAATGCAAAATTTTAAGTGCTCTCATTATCAATGCAGAAAATACGAATAGAGTGCTGAGCTGATTTATGCGATAGCAGAAAAATATTATAATAACACACGAAATGATGTGGCTGCATGAGAACATTTATATTTGAGTTCAAAAAATACGAACTTGTATGAGTGAGCAGTGTGCCGATGTGTTTTAAAGTAAATAATAAGTGTGAATATTGGAGGATAACAAGCAGTGAGGCATGGATAAGGAAAGCACCAAAAATGAACAGAACATCATTGCATAATGATGATGCGCATCATGATGTGCTTGTGGTTGAATTGCTGCATGCACACACATGTCCGTCCTATCAAACCAACCACGACCACATCACAGCAGCGCACCATCAAACCAATTCTTCCTCAGGCGCATATAATGTACTTCTAGCTTGAAAAGGCGTGTCTTGACCACTATCGGAAGTGATAAATAGAAAGCAAATTATAAACGGATCAATATGGTTAAGATCCAAGCAGCAAACGCAAAAGAGACGAACGAAATGTATTGATGAATGCTTGAAAAGTTGCAGTAGTTTAGGTCGAAACGTTGCTACTGCAAACCTTGATTATGAATTTGATGATTCACTTCTGTATCACTCCTCAGTAACAACGCTTCTCGTTATCTAAGCTACTTTT